CAGCACTCTAGACTGGGTGTAACCTTCCACACAGCCTGTTCCCATTATATGTGGAGTTCAAGCAAAAGTGTGGGTAAGAGAACTATTGTTTTATAGCATCATTAGAAACATCAGTATTATTGTTAATGCAGCACTTAATTTGAAATGTCATTTAAAACTTGCTTGGGTGGAAGCAGCAACCCATAGGAAATATATGATACTGTCATATATATACATGCAACGAAAACTGTTGGGCAGGAGTCACCAGATGGCACTATTACACAGTCTCAAGAATTCTCTCAGTGTGTGAACAGTGTTGAATTTTTGATGAAATGCTGCATTGTTGTTAATTTTGTTATACATATTCTTTTAGGGGGGCTGTGGCAAGCAGCAAGGGAGTTTGTTCTCTGTGTTAATATCTTTCACTAGTCAATTTCTTAGGGCAGAAATTAGCTCAGGGAACCAGGTACTGGTGTTTGGGCTGAGATTCCGGAAAGAGGGGACTGCCTTCCTGCTGTTTGTGATCACATCTGTTCAATGACTGTTGAATATAGTGTAAATAAAACAAGTTACACTAAAAAAATACCCAGGCTCTGCATCACTGATTTCTTTTCCAATGGGAAACAAAACTGAAAGGCTCCAAAGTCTACCACCACTTGGCTGAGGAGCAACAATATACAGAAAACTATGCAAGGTCTGGAATTCCAAAAAGTACAGAAACAGGAGTACATTGTGCACCTGATTAAAGTGAATAAAAAACCATTTAATCACATGACAGCAAGACAGAAGAAGAAGAGCTCTCTGTAAGCTCAAAAGCTTGTCTCTCTCTCCAACAAAGGCTGGTCCAATAAAAGATATTACCTCACCTGCATTCTCTCTCCAGTATTCTGGGACTGATATGGCTACAACACTGGATGACAGCAAAGTAGTAAGAGATAAAAACCAAAAGTTAAATAACAGTATTGTGAAAAAAAGTCTTGGGATGTCATATCGGAGGCTTGGAGCTGCAGTTTAAGTCTGTCACAGTCTGGCCTCCTTGAGGGAGGTTTATAGGGCACTTAGTGGCCAGGTTTATGGCCTCCCACTCTTATAAGGCCAAGATCCCTGGGTAGAAACTCCTCAAATCCCATTGATTTCTCTGTATTATTATGGCAGTAATGACTAGAAGCCCCACAGTCATGGATCAGAACCCCATTGTGCTAGGTGCTGTACAAACACATAAAAATATGGTCCCTGCCCTAATTTGGTACAGGCAAAGCATATGCTATGGTGATAGGTACTTTGGAAATGCAGATAGGTTGGAAACACAACTTATCTTTCTAACATCTGCAGAACTTCTGCACAGTGTAAAATTGGGGGTCTGGAAAACACAGATAATGCATATGCTTCCCTACTAAACCAATGTAACTTAGGTGTGAAACACATTCACGTGAAAATGCTCCTCTGTGCAACACTGTCCTACACAGTCCAAATAGGCTGTTTATGTACTCTCCAGGGGCCCATTTGAGCACAAATGCAATCAGTTCTGAGGGTGTCTATGTTCAGGACACCATGCTAGCCAAAGTGCTCAGCATGCTATTGTCCCCCTCTTCCACAGCTGATCCATATGGCAGTAGATGGTGTTACATGTATTTTCCAGCATGATATCCAGAAGGAGGGCTCACTGGGAGAAACAACACAAGTTGATAAGCCATGCTGATCTGAGGGAATGATGCAGTGCAGATAGGAACAACACTTTTCTTCATGCCTTTTCATGGATTTCACCCTTTTCCATGGGTTTTCCCACAGGAGGAATCATTATAATTAATAGTTTATCATTAGTATCTAAAATCAACGTTTATTTACTGCCTTGTGTCTAAGAAATATGCCCTTTGAGGTGCTTGGAAAATACATTATGCAATATAGAACATGTGTAATACTGCTCTGGACATGGTGTTGGGTAACTTTATGACCTAGTGTAGGTTGTAGTCATACCTTAAAACGTTTTCCATCTGAGACTGTAAATGCCTTGGGCAGGGAACATGGCCAAAAAGTTCAAACCCAAGTGCCCAAAATTAACCTCCCAAATCCACAATTAGGTATCTAAATAAAAGTGGCCTGATTTTTAGAAGTGCTGAGCTCCCACTGACTTCAATGGGAGCTGCTGGATGTTGACCGTAAAGTACTAAATTGTGACTCCCGTTTTTGAAAATTTAGCTGTCTTGTGCAGTGCAAACTAGATTGCCAACACTTTAATAAGTGATTTAAAACACCACCACAAAGTTTCTATCTTACCTGAATTCTGGATTCCGCACGTTTTTTTAAAAGCAGAACATTTTAGTTTAGACCAAAGTCAAATCCCCCGCGGGATTTACTCATAATTTTCTCTCATATACTGATGTTAACATTTAGTGCTAGATGCAGGACCCATTTTCTTCCACTAGATGGTGCGTTTACAAAGAAAACTTACCTTGTCTCCTCTCTAGGTATTATCAGAACAAATCTGTGGTTCAGCCGTGCTTCAAATATTCTCTCTCTCTCCTGTGTGTGCAAAGTTTGCACATGTGGTTTCCCCCCCACATTTTATTTTGTTTTGATCACAAGGTGCAGAGATGGTCATCCACCTCACGCAGTCTGAACCAGGCTAAATATATGCCTAAGGGAACAGTTGCCAAAGAAACTTGATATAAAAATGAAACTTTGGTTACATCAAAACACACAGAAAGGAGACCCACCCTCACAGTACACACGTATACACAAAAATGATGGTGAACACAGCTCAGAATAATGATTTGTTTTTGTGTTAACGCCAAAGGGTTAAAATCTCACACCTATCTGGGGAATCTTCGTGGGGTAGAGCCACCCAGTTCAATAAGCAAACACTTCAGGATTTAAGTGTGGATTTTTGCAGTAATAAACAGCTCATATTGCCTTGAGTACAAGTGCCCAGCCACCAACTGGGTCTTACAAGATCAGTGAATTAATAGAACGTTTGTAAATTGCTTTTCCATTCCTAGTTTTTCAAACTTACTAAGTTATTTCAAATCAACTTTCTAGTACAAATCATGAAGCCCTGTCATTGTTTTTTGTTTTCAGAAAAATACTATGAGCAGAACAATTCCAGCACCACACCCCTGTTATCATTTAGGTAACCCTCCCTGTCTGATATATTTTAAGTGGATAAAAAATAGTCACCATATCCGCGTTAATTCCCGCAATCCCATGACCGCACAAAACCCTCTCCAACAAGTGAGCATTGTTAAAGGCTCCTGCTCACTATGTTTTAAGCAGCAAAATCAGCCCCCCCCCCAAAAAACCTGACAAACAACTGTAAGTAGGTAATCAAGAACCACAGCTATGGGAATAGGCACATATACTGCAAAACCGATGAGGTTCGCTAGCAACCAGGCAACAAACAAGGTTAAGAACGTGAAAGGAAAGCAGACTAGGTATAAGTGGTAAATGCTTCAGCCAGTTTGTATAGAATTGCTTTCTCTTAAAAGCATTGTACTGATGATGTCCAGTAGCTCCTTGCTATACACGTTCTCCTGACGGGGGACAGCTAGTAGGCTAATGCCCAATGATACCTGATCCGAAACCATCCTTTCGGCTTTGACACAAAGAGCCCCTAGCAGGACACTTGACTGCCACCGGGCGAGCAGCTAAATGCCCCCATCTTTGTCATTAAATACATCAATCAAAAAATAAGTGGAAAGGGCAACCGACAAAGTATTTAGGCAACAATGAGCTTTTTCTCCCTGGGCTGTTGTCTGGTAGTCTAGCCTTCCTTTAATACAAGTAGATACGATCTAAATTGTCCTGGGCTGAGGACTTCGCTCAGTGGTGCTGAACACAGAAAGAGTTCTCTTTCCTAAGCAGCCTCTGCCATTCCCCTGACTGACGGGGATGCTGCTGCTGCTGGGAGAGGCTTTATCTCAGTGATCATTTGTTAATCCTGACTCGGAAATCGGGGGGACGGGGGTGCAGGGAAGTGAGATGAAAAAATTAAGAAGTGGATAGGCAGAAAGAGGGGAGGAGCATTTGGGCTGGTGGCAAACACATAAAACCAGCCGGTACGTTCACCCCACAGAGCAAAACAGGACAACTATCCCCACATAAAACTTCAGATCCCCCTTCCCTCCCTGACAGGGCACAAACCACCCATCAACGAGGGAAGAGTGAGGGGGGAGGGGGAAGAAAGCTTGGAAAACCCTAAACACTGAGCTGGTGAAGAGAAAACAGAAGGGAAAACGGATCATCCTAGAGAAAGATTAAAGCAACGCAGATCGGTGTAGCCTAGCATACTAAAGCGTCAGGAGGTTTGCACACCTTTGGGGGTTTCTGCGTATCTTCACAAGCATATTTACTGCGGTGTCTCATAAGGAAATTAACCTGTTACACTCGTTCTAGTTGGGACTGTCATTCAGTAGAGTCTATGCTCCTTTCCCCGATCCTTGACTTAAGGAAGGACTGCAGAAACCCACCTTCCGCTTAGGAGAATCGGTGGCGCTTCTTTACAAGCAGGTGGTCTGTTTGTGCTTTCTTATTCCCTTCTCCCCCTTCACCCCCCACCTCCCGGCTGGACAACTCCCTCCTTTGGAGAACACGCCCAAGTAGCTGAAGAAGAGCGAGAGAGAAAAAAAGAAGAGATAGATAGTAACATTGAACCTGAGGGGAGATCCAGAGCTGCTGCGTGCAGAGAGAGATCACTGCAGCCTATACATTCCCAGCACTAAAGTATTACGTGTGACAGGCATACAAATCCGGAATAAAAAGAAAAAAGAGAGAGAGAGAGACACACACACACACAGACACAGGGTGGGTGAGTGAGTGAGAGAGAGACCCAGCTGAGGGATATGGTGTTTGTCTCTTGGGATTTACAAACACACACTGCCTGTTCAGATCACAAGAGGGTTTGTCTGTTTTGTCTGCACTACCTTGACCCGGAGCTGCACTGTCTGAGGCAACGAGAAATTAACCAGCACGAATAGCATTAGCGGCATCATTTTGCATGGTGATCTGAAAATCAGCAAACAAGGAATATGAACAGGAAAACAAGGCGTTGGATTTTCCATATCTTTCTGAGCCTAGGGATTGTATATATCAAAATTGGGTAAGTAACTTTTAAAAAAACCACAAACGATTTCTCTCTGCCTATCCTGTCCAGACCTGTTAATATTTAACTGGGAAAGTTTGGAAGACTGTTGTTATTTTTTTTTTAAAAAAAGACAGAGCAGAAATGCTATTGCCTTTAACTGAATTCTTGGTGTATAGTGTAGAGCTGGGGAATGGGAAAGTCATTGGTGATGTGCCGGAAGCATGACTGGAATGGCAATGTGCTGGGGTTATTTTTATGCTCTTTCTGTACCTACCGTATCCCCTGAAATCAAACCAAACTCTGCTTTCACATGCATGGCGAGTATCGCTTCAATGGAATTTGAAAGGACATTTGTCAGCCGTTCAGGAGAGCGAGCACCAGCGAGAGAGGCCGCCGGCTCCCTACCCCTTCCTTCCCCGGGACCTCTGGGGAAACCATCTCCTCTCTTCCCAGGTGCAAACTACTTGGACTGTTGCTGAGGGGGATAAGGACCCGCGCCTGTCTTCTGAGCGCGCAACAGCGATCTCGCAGGGCAGCCATGGGTCACTCTGTCATTAGCTGCTGGACTGGTCAAAGTGGGCGCTTTTATTTATTAAAAGCAATGGGAAATAAAATACACGCCAGCGCTCCGGCTATCCAGAGCCAAACCCTCTCCTCTCACCTGGAGATCAGCAGCATCTTTAGCATTACACCTCACCCAAATCATAGGCCTTATTCTGCAAGGGCAGGGAGTGGGCTGCAGCCCAGGATCAGAGGGGAGGGGCCGCTTTATTTTCCCCAACTGCACTAATTTAATAAATTAATCAAACGATGACGATGACAATAATAATGAAAACCCCAGCCCTTGGAGTGTGTGTGTGTGCTTGTTCTGGGCGCTGGAGTTGCATGCGCTCTAATTTATGAATCAGGAAGTTGGGTCACGTTTTGGCAAAAGCCCACGCGCTCTTTATCTCTCTTTTAATTATAGACAGAAAAAAAAAGTGATGGGGGGGGGGCGGAAGGGCGAGGCTCTGATGTCCGTGAAATTGACCCAATCTTTCCTTTAAACGTCATTATTCTATTATTATCCCCAGGCTCCGCAAGATACGGGCTGGGGAGGCAACAAGCCCAGCAAAAAGTTGGGTTGGTCTTGGCCAGGGGCTGGTGGAGTAAAATAATGTTTTTGTTTTGCTGGAGTATGTGCCACAACCTACCCGTGGCATTAGCCAACAGTCGGGGGAGGGTTTTAAACGCACGGTGCCACGTGAATACCTGAGCAGGGTTACAGAGGATGGGGCTCTCTCTGTCCTTTGCAGGGGTTCAGCCCCTTTATCGCCTTTACACCAGTCTATAGCCTGACACAAAGCGGCCTGAAAACCGCTTGCTCCGGGGAAAGGTTACTAAGGTAATGTCACAACGTGAATGTGAAGATCCTAGGTTGAAAGCGCTTTCAAGGCAGAGAACATGCTTTGAAGTGAGAAGATGCCTCCCTCTGAAAGCGCCTGTAAGAACGCTGCCGCCTCAGGAATCGATTGGCTCTGAAAGCTGCTGTGCTAATTTTATTTGTTCTGAGTCTTTCCCCTTCTTCTCTCATTCCAGGGGTTTTTCCTCTGTGGTGGCTCTGGGGGCCAGCATCATCTGTAACAAGATCCCGGGT